TTTTTTAAATAAAAAATTCATAATTTACAATACATTTCATATTCGCGCTAATTTAATCTTCACAATATATTTCAAAGCTTCATTAATTGCAATTTTTTTATATTTAAAAAAAAAGATTTAAATAAAATATTAATTAATTTCACTTGTAACATTAATATCAGAAGTGATTACATTATTGTTATACTGCAATGTTATGAATTATTTGCTTTTGCTTTGTTTTCGATTTAAATATATTGGCAAATTTTTTATCAAAAGTTTTACTGCTGGTATTTAAAAATTGCTCTTCTTTATTATTTAAAATTTATTTAAATTACTCGGTTAATATAAAAAATTAAGTAAATAGAAAATGGGCACTTGATGCCCATTGAAAAATAACACTTTACACTTATAGCACTTTATACGGCAATTTGAAATTGTTGTTTAAGAAAATAAATAGTAGAGATTTTTATTTATTTATTTATAGAAATGAATAATTATAGTATAAAAAATTAAAAATTTTTTGGATTTTTAGTAAAATATGAACGATTTTTTAAATGAAATCAATGGAATTGCATTGGTTCATTATTCATTTTTATTTTCATCCTCCTTACCAAATATTTCATCGACATTTAAGCCATCAAATGTCTAAAAAAAAATTAGCAAAAATTAATAAATTATTAATTTGCAATATAACTAATATCTGCTATTTTATATTTTAATAAAAATAATTTCTATTATACTTTTTATATAAAATTCTCTTTTCATTAATGATATATTTAATAATAGAAGTATAAGTATCAATAAGCCTTTCTTGTTAAATTATTTTTTTCATTTAATTTTTTTAAATTAATCTTCTTTTGCATCTAAATATATTGGTGTTCATCGCTTAAACGGCTACTTACTTGGTACTGAGGATCGAAGAGTCCACTGAGCTCATATGAATTGGTGCTCGTATATCCATTTTGATTCGTACCGAACAAGTTTTATTTTCAAAACTCTTGACATTTTAAATTATAGTTAAATTATAGATAGTAATCTTTGATAGAAATTTAATTTAATTTTTTTATTAATTTTTTAATTTTATTTAATTTTTTTCGTGGCTTATCAATTTATTTGATTTAATTCAATTTATTAATTTAAATTTCACTTTTCAGCTTTGTGATCAACGCAACCAGTCTAACCAGTAATAATGAGAACTATTAAAAGAAGAAGACACAAATAAAGAAAAATTTTGTAGAAAAAAATTTTTCTTTAGGAAATTTGGTTCACTTTTTTTTTTATAGCTTCTTCTGATTTCTTTCCATTATCAATTGATTCGCTTTCCTGAGTTTCATCTTCCTTATCATTTTTAATTCGGTGACATGTTAAATAGGAAATAAATAGGAATCATTTATATTTCCTTCAAAGCATTCTTTTTTTTCTTAGAAAAAAAAAGTTCAATTTCTAAACGTTCAATTTTAAACAAATTTTAAAGTTGAAATTGTAGATATGTATGATGAAATTTCTAGTTCTTTTTTCCAGTTTTCTGCTCTAAATTCGTTTTAGATTACATCCGCAGTAATAATTTCATATCATATCAGCGGTGTTTTTTATACCGACTCGTATGAAAGGAATGAATCAAAATTATATTTTGGGCAAACTAAGGGATTTGCTATACATCATAAGTAAATAAAACGCGACGAATTTTATTATCAGTATTGATAAGATTTTCACAAATTTTCACAACCATATGAAATTTTGCAGGTAATCATCCTTTCTTCACTCTTCTTTCAATAATTAGACAATTTTTAAAAAATTAAAAATTTCGAAATTACATTGAAAATTAAAATTTAGAGAAACTTATTTTTATTTATACTTATTTAGGAAATTTTAGAAAATTTAACGAGCGAAATGGAAAAATGGATCTACCAGAAACTGTTTTCGCCTTTTAGAACCAGAAATACCAGAAATGGTGAAAAAGAAGAATTAGCAGATAATATATGGCAAGCCTTAGATTGGCTTGGCTTGCTATAATATTTGGAAAAAATTTTAAGGTACCTTAAAATGCTATAAGCTACCTTTTAAATAATCTTGCGAAAAATAAAATTTTTTATTTATTTATGTATGGTGCAATTTTTTATTTATTTTGGTGACTCAATGGTAAGATAACTACCGCAGCGAATGGAGACTTGAGTTCGAGTCCGTCGACGCACCACTCTTCGTCGGATTGCACTTTCTTCTAACAGAGCGAAATAAAGGGAAGAGATTAGAATGGCTCAGTGGATTGCTGCTCAATTTGGAGAGATTCGATACTGAGGTTCTAATTCCAGCAGAATTTAGTCTATTCAAAAATCTCTGGGTGATATTGGTGACTCAAGGATTCCTTGGCATATTTATCCGATGCGACAAACCAAAGGAGCGAGTCCAACCAGCAATGGTGAGTGAAAAAGTTTCAAAAAATAAAATAAATTTTTAAATAATAAAATCTATCCAATTCAAGCATATTTCATTAACTTTTTCGCTTTTTTCCACGAATTTTCAAATTCGATTTTAATAAAATAAAAATTTGAATAAAATTTAAATATTTTATTTAATAATAAAAGAAATTTTTTGTGGTCGTTTATGAAAAAATTTCAATCGGCTAATATGCAAATTTTATAAATTCATTTTAGATTTTAGCCTTAACATGGTTTTTCATTTGCAGTTTTGGATTTATTCATTTTCTTATCTCTTAAATTAAAATTTCGATACTAAATTTTTGAAGTATTCGAAATAAATTCATGATTTGATCATATCAACTTTATTTATCATCTAACAGCATTCACCATTTCTGGTTTGGCTGGCTTCATTGACTTGGCTATTAGATTAAAGTCAAATCTCATTTATGAATGAATTTTCGCCTCATTATCAACTCAGATTTCAGGTTAAATTACCGCCAAGCGATAGAAAAAAAAATTTCTCGTAACTTTTAAATTCTTCGATTAAACAATTAAGCGAATTTTCTAAAAGAATTTAAAGCGAACTTACGCCAATTTATATAGCTTCTGAATCCAATTCTAAACTAATTTATGCTTAATAATAAACGATGAATAGCGGCAAATTGTAATACAATTTTTTTTTTTCCTTAAATATATTTTAAGCGTGCAATTAGGAAATATAAATTAATAGAAATAGAAATATAAATATAAATTATACAAATTCATTCGTAATGATAATTCATACTAAAATAAATTTATCATTTTTTAAACAATAAATTAAATTATCATTTTACTTTTTGATCGATTTTATGAGCAGTGGAGATGATAATTGATGAAATGAAGAAATTTAGAAAATTTCGAAAATCGTGATTAGTCAGCAAACAGCTGTTATTCGTATTGATATTTAATAAAGATTTACCATTTCTTCCTATCTTTTGTTGATTATTACTGCAATATATTTAAAACCATCCAATATTTTAGTTTAATTATTTAATTTAATCTAAATTTATTTAAGATTTTCTTTGCTTTTCTATGCAAGCGTATCGATGTATGCAAACAATATAATACAATTTTCTGCATAATTTTTTTTCATTTCACTGAATTTTTGAGATTATTTTTGATATAATTGGAATTTATAAGATTGATTTTATTGCGATTATAGCAGAAAAAAATAATTTTGAAAAATTTTTAAAAAAAGAACCAAACTAATATAATTTTTTAAAATTCCACAAAAAAATTACTGCAAAAATTCGGAGAAAGTAAAAAAAGTAAAAATTAGGAGAAAGTAAAAAAAGTAAAAATGAGGAGAAAGTAAAAAAAGTAAAAATTAGGAGAAAGTAAAATTTGAATTTCAGAATTCTCCTAAACCAATTGTTTAAAAAAAAATCGCACAAATAATAGACATTAATTGCACATTTTAACGCTTATTTTAATCCTTCGAATTTTTTTTTTCAATAAATATAGGCGAATTTCTTAAATTTTTAATTAATCGTTAATTGTATAATTTGAATTGAATTTTATTGTTTTTCCAATATTTTAAAATTTGAATGCTTAAAAATTTTGTAAAAAAAAGAGCTTGACGATCGCTGTTTTAACAACACTTCTATGCTCTTCTTTGGCTTCATTAACCGCTAGAAAAGGCCTCTTTTGCCAGAGATTCACTCGGCGAGCACAGAGATTGGTCTAGTCCAACAGCAGTCGGATAGTAATTGCAGTTATAAACCATCTAAATTGTATAACTATAAAATTTAAACTACTACATAGAATTTATAATGGAAAATATAGAGAATTAGCGAATTGCATCAAATTTCAAACAAGATTTCATTATCATAATAGAATCGAAATTGTTATTATTGCTATCGCTTTGTTATCATTATTATCAATATTATCAAAGAAAAAAATTCTTTTTCCATTAAGATATGATTTAATTTGCTTTGCATTTAGTAATCTTATTCGATCAAATAATTCAGCTAACAGCGATTAAATCCTCAATTTTATGAAGCACATTTTAACAATAGCCAACTGAAAAATACTCGTTATCGATGCCAATAGCTCATTTCTCTTTACGGTGTAATTTTTGTTTTAATTTGATTATTATTCTTACAATTTTTCGTCAAAATTATTTTTATTTATTACAAATGTATATAAAATTTTATATATAACTTTTATATATAATTTGTTTATATTTAATATTATAATTTTATATAATTTTATAATTATAAACCATCTAAACTATATATTTGCAGAATCTAAACTACATAGAATAAATGTAGAATGAAAGTACATAGAATCTAAACTACATTATGACTTTATATAATTATAGAATTTATACTATTCTATACAATTTTATATAATTACTTTTTATATAATTTTTATTCAATTGTATATAATACTTATATAACGAATAATAAAGTATTTGCTATTTCAATGAAATGAACTAATAAAAAAATTTTTCATCTGGCATGTGAGTTTTTAAATATTTTTTAATGAAAAGCTATACATAATTTTAAAAAACTATCTTAAATTTTGAGTAATTATAACTGTGAAAAAATTTGCAGCAATGTTATGAACCGATTTCCATCGTACCAGAGGACGAATGATGAACCAATTTGGGGTCGAAGTTCTTACGATACCTATCGTTCAGCTCCTCCTTTACAGTCAACCTTTGTAATGCCAACATATTCGCCACACACCACTATTGTCCACTCATCAGCCAAACCACCAACAGAATCAGATATTTATAAGTTCAATTTTCAGTTATTACTATCTGTTTATATCATACTGAAAATAATTAGAAAAAGTATCTCTAATCAATGATAATAAAATGACAAGCATTTTTTTATTTCTGTTATCAGTAAATATCGTATTTAAATGAACTATTATATTAATTTTAATATATAACATTAATTTTTTGTATTGCACTCATTCATTATAACGGCGAATTTCTTATAAATTTTTTAAAATAAAAATTCTACAATATTTTATATTTTATACAATTCTTTAATTTTTTGAAGGGTTGGTGTATATGGCTGGCGTAAAAGGTGTTTATATTGTTTCATCTGTGCGCTTACAGTGATAATAATATTAAATCTGGCACTTACTGCTTGGATTATAACCGTCCTTGATCTTTCTTCAGTAAATACTTCATTCATCTCTGAACTATTTAGAAATCAATTAATTAATATTATAATAATTAAATTTAATAAATTAAATCTAATAATATTAATATTATATATGATTTTTGAAAGAATTTTTAGGATGGTATGGGTGCATTAAAAATAGATGATGAAAGTGTTCGAGTGATTGGTGAAACACAGTTCGATAGGCCAGTGTATTTTACAGAACTTTCTTCTGTAGAAGTAAAAGTTTATTTTTTAATTGATATCATATCATAATGGGAATGATAAATTTTTTATGGTTTTTTAGGTGAAGAAAATTTAAACAACGTTGGAAATTGAAGTATATCATTTCGTTTTGAATAGTATCGAACTTTTATTATATGATTTTATTTTTCTTCAAAATTCATGATAATTTTTTTTGAAAACCTAAAATTTCGAAATTTCTAAGGTTTAAATGAAATTTTCAAAGAGTTTGAATGAAAAACATGATTTCAATTTGAAAACTATTTCAATTGATAATTGATAAAAATCTAATTTAAGAAGACTATTGGCTTAATTGATAAAAATTATTATTTATGACTAATATTTCTTCTTGTCTTTAGGGTGAAGCACTAACGATTGATTCTTCTCGTGGCATATTTATTAAAGCTAAAAATATGACCGGTCATCAAACAGCAATGTTTAACATGTTTCAAGATGGTCGAACGGAAGTAGTTTGTGATCGTTTTGAAATCCTTGATAATTCAAGAAAGCTGTTGTTTTTCGCCGAATCAAATGAAATCGGCTTGAAGTTGGATAATCTGAGAATATTAGGTATGGTATTAGCCATGGTTTTCCAACTTCTTCTGGATCAATTAATTTCAATTTTAATTACCCTACGATCGAGCATCATAGGCTGAATGCCTCTGCCTCTTGACTGAAGTAGGCTTTTTGAAATCCAGGCTTCTCCAGGATTCTTAGGACTTACCAATGCTTTTACCATTAAATGTCTCGATTTTCAATCTCATTGATAATCAGCCTTATCAGAAATGATTAGTGTTATAAGAAGAAAAAACCTCAAAATTTGCAATATAATTTGCTTAATACTTTACCGAAATTTTTTGCTATTTCTCATTATATATTTCTGTATTAATGATAAATGATAAGTAAGAAAAATTATTAATTCGAGAAATTTGGAAAAATCATGAATAAAATTCTTAGATGACGGTGGAAGTGTATTTGAAGGAGCAATTCAAACAGCTCTATTACGACCAGAACCCGACACTCCACTGAGGCAAGTCAAATTTAATCTATTGATTCTAAATTTAATCTATTGTTAAATTTATTGCTATGGAACTTCGACTAATTAAAAAAAAAAAAACTAAACTCAGTTTTAAACTAATTAATCATTTATTTTGGATGATGCTGGCAATTCGCTTATACTTTTACCGCCAGACTTCCTGACATATTTGTCTGGTGCGATAAGGCCAGCGGAGCGAGTCAAGAAGTCTAAGTTATGATGAGAGAGCCTCTTAAAAAAACTAATTAAGCGTAAAAATATTGTTTCATTGCTGAAATTTGGAAATATTTTGTGTATGTATGTGCATATATGTGCATGTATGTGACTGTATTCGTTTCAGCTTGGAATCACCAACACGAAATTTAAATCTTGATGCTGGCCAAGATATTGAAATAATAAGTGCAGCTGGCGATATTCACTTTTCTTCTTTGCTTGATATAAATTTAAATTCAAAAAGAGTTAGTTAATTTAACATTCGTTTCGTTTCTTAAAAGCATAAATTAAAAAAATTTTTTTTTCATTTTATCAAATAAAATATCAAATTTTAAAATAAAATTTTATAAGAAAAAAATTTCTCAATAAATCTAAAACCAATTAAAATAGAATGTGTCGTATAATAGTGTTTTTTCTAAAAATATTTAAACATAAAATCAACCAAAAGAATGAAAAATAAAATTAAAAAATTAAGGAAAATATTAACGGAGAGTGAATTTTTTAGGGTGAAATTAGGCTCGAATCTGGCAATATATTTATTTCTGGGCTAATGAAGAGTGATAGCCGAGGTAATTCCCAGTATCAGTTATGCATTTGCCAAAACGGTCGATTGTTTATGGCCTTACATGGAGCTGATTGCCGAGCCGATAGAAGCATTTGTGATTAGAATCAGAAATATATCGGCGATTCAAAAAATATGCAATAAAAGTGAAACGAACAAAAAAGCTTCCCTTTCGTATGTGAACAAACTTTTTTGATAAATATTGAACCATTTTTCTGATTATATATATATTTCTTTATTGAAAAAATTCATCTAAAATTTATTAAAACTTGGATTTCAATTGAAATTTTTTAAATATGCACTATAAAATATTAATTGCAACGAAAAATGCATATTATTTATTTATTTATATCAATTTCTACAATTATAGAAAAAAGTAATAAAAGATAAAAGCACCAAGAATTCAAAATGAATTTTATGATTCCTTAAAAATTTTAAAAAAATTCAGTAAATAATAAATAGATTGCGCAAACCCAAAAGATCTGAAATCAATGAGAATTAAAAATACATACCTACCACTGAATAAAAATAACCATAAAAATTTGAAAAAACAATCTATTATAATGAAAAAACCGGCAAAAAATTGCTCTAATAAATAAAATATTAATGAAATAAAAAAAAAATTCCCAACAAAGGACTATAAGTTAAACGAAGGATTATACAGAAAATTGAGATATCGAATAAATGAAGTAAAAAGATAAAAAATTGAAAAAAGACCTAATTAAAAATTATTAATAATGCAAAACTTGTTTGAGTGGCACATAAAAATTATTCGCGATTAGATGACAATAAGAACAATCGCCTATAAAGAAGAAAAACGAAAGCTAAAAACAATACAAAGATGGAAAGCAGATGCTTTGAGAAAAATGATGCTGACAATACCACTAAAGAATTTTCTGCTGAAACGTTAGGCGCAATAACGCGATGACAGACTACTGAATCTTGGATATTCTCACCTGATTCACATAACCGATTAACTTCTGAATTATTGTCTTGAGTGAGCGACGAAATATTCAAACCTTCTTCAGCTTCAGAAGTTCTTCTTTGCGCAATATTAACTTCTTCTTTCTACAACATCATTTAGAAAATATAATGAATCTTTCTATAAATCTCTAAAATTTTTTGTTAAAAAAATTGAAACTGAAGAAAAAAATTTTTCGAAATACAAATGTAAAAAATTGAAATATGAAAAGATTTTTTAGCATAATTCAATAAATTAAGCGAAAAAAATTGACTCTGAATGAAACTTTTGAGGCAAGATTTCGTGCTTCTTCTTCAACCAACTTTATTTCTTCAGCCGACGGTTGTTTGGCTAGAGCATCACGCATACACAGACCACACTGCTTACACACCCAATTCTGACTCCTTCAATACAATATTTTCATGCATTATTCCTTTTTTTTAAACGTTTATATTGGCGGAACAGAGGTGCATAAGAATAAAAATTCAAGAATGCCATAATAAATTATAAGTTTTCAATAAATTGAATTCATTATTCGAAGCCCATTCTCAATTATTTCTGAATTTTCAAAATGTCAAATAATTTAATGAAAAAAGAAGCAAAAATTACTGCAAAGCCAATTTTTTACGTTCCTCCGATGGATATTCCAGTGAGCCTAAAGCTCCAGCTGGATGAGTCGGCATAAATCCAATTAAAGCCAACAGTGCTGTGCGGACTAAAAATAAAATCATGAAGTTGCTAAAAAAAATCAAAAATAATTTTTAATAAAAAAGTAAGGAAAAAAAATAGTGCAAAATTAAAAATATAAGAAAATTAGAAATTTGCTGCCGAATCAAATTCAAAATATTGAATCCAGAATGTTCATTTAAAAAAATCATTTACTTGACCAGGAAGGCTGCCATGATTCAGGATGATGTCCAGAGATGCTAAGGCATATTTTTTGATTCAACTGAAATCGGCCATTTGGCTGAAAAAATAATCATTTCATTATTATCTTACAACGAAAACAATTACAATGATCGTCTTAACTTTTCGCGAAAATTCCTCCCTCCCTCGATTCGTATCATTTCTGCAAATTCCTAAATTGGAATAAACAAAAAAGAAGAAATAAAAGACATCTCTTCTGTTTCTTTTATTCTTCCGTTGATTGCTCTCGGTCCTTCATTTAAGCCTGAACATTCTTTCTCTTTTTCTGCCTTTCAGTCTATCTTACAACAATTATTAGAATTGCCGAAAGTGCCAAAATTTTTTTTTGCACCAGTAAAATTTTTGGGTCCGAAAAGTATAATAAATCAGTAAGTAAGCAATTTTTACAACGAATTTTTGAATAGAAAATTAAAATCATGAAGATTAACAAAATTCGATTAAATAACTTTTAAAAAATCATCCTTTAATATATCAAGACAGATTAATTAATGAATTGAATAAACCTATTTTAATACAATATAAATAAATATAAACCACCGTCAAAAGAATTACACCAGGAGGTTTCATTGGATAATCAGGTGGTAAAACAATTCGACCATGATAAATTCCACCATCGAAATCTGTATCAGCTGGACCGCGAACAGTAAAATGCCATTCAAACAAATTGTCCTAAAAAAAACTCCGATCTCCGATACATTTCATAAAAATCATAAAAATCAAGCAAAAAATAAGCCCACAAAACAAATAAATCACCAAAAAAAAGTGTCGAAAACAATTACATCGAGTGGTTGAGCGAAATACATTTCAGTTGGATTGCGTAGTTCAGCTGCTTCCTTCATTAACCTTTTCACACCGAAAAATTATTTTAAATTCACTAATTAATATTGAATATTGTAAATAATGAAAATAAAAATAATTATTTAAAAATTATTATTATAATAATTATTATAATAAAAATTATAATAATTATTTTAAAAAATATTTAATAAAAACAACTAATATGGTGGTAGATTTCAATTAGACTAATGGCAACGATTCTCAACAATTTATAGTACAAAGACGGAAAATGAAAGAGAGATGAAGAAAACCCGAAGGATTATAAGATGTGAAAAAAAGCAAAGAAAGACTTTTAACTGATCGAAGACGTAAAAATGCCTCAAATAGCTCAATGTACCGCGATAAGTTCACTTCTCTTTCTAAAATCATTAGGTTTCGCTCGCCTTACTAATAATTATGCCAAGACTCATTGGCCAAATAAATGTTTGAGATTTTTTTTTTTTTTTAAAGAGTCCTCACCGTTACTGATTAAACTCGCTCCACTGGCTTACACATTATGCCAGGGAGTCGCCTGGCGATAAAAAATACAGGTGAGTCGCCAGCATCACCCGACTGTTCGAGAATAGAGAAATATAAATAAACGCTCACCAACATTCAAGTGAAAGTGAAAGAAAAATAAGGAAGGGATAATTTTAATGAACCATAATTGTATATAAAATATTAAAAAAATTTTTAATAGCACTTGTATCATTTAAATACCTATTTTTTATGGAATTTTTAAATTTATAAAGATAAAATTTTTTTTTATTCTTTTAAAAATTTTAATTTCTTCTAAAGAGAAAAGTTGGGAAAAAAGGCTTTTCAAAATCAACCATGGAAAATATCCAAAATTTAAAAAAGGAATTGGAACCAACCTGGACTTTTCATATTATAAAGACAAGAATTCACTGCTTCACCCATACTTTTATATAAACAGATCAACACAACTAAATTTACGAAGCGTCATCGATAGTAATTATGCCGACATTTATGAAAATCTAAAGATCAGCCTGAAGTGCGGAAATTCATTGAGACATACATTCGTGAGGACCATTAAGAATTATTGTGAAAGGGATGGTCGTCCAGCTTCCATTATGCATGGATATGCAAGGAGCTAACTGTACCAAGAATTGCCGGATTCAGTTTCTAAACAGACACTGATATCTAATGGTCAGACTGGGATAGCTGCAACCAGAGGTGCCTTATTTCGTCTGGCTAAATCTCTTTGGAATCAGCCTCATGTTTGTACCCTTATGTCTGGCAGTGGCTGGCTCAGATGTCTGTGTTTATTGATGTCTTTGAATCAGAGCATCATAAAAGACGCGTGAAGTCTAGATACTTGCTACCAGCATGGAAATCCTATGACCCAACTACACCCCCATGTTTAAGTGACATCCCAGCAGAAACCCCTAATACTTGATGAATGGTGCAAAACCAATATTGCATGGATCCTAGAGAGATGCGCGCCCGAATTTCATGATTTAGAAGGTAAAAATTCTTGCAAGTGTACGATTCATAGACCGATTCCCCTAGTGAATTTTCACCGTTTATAACTACCATATGCGTCATCGAAAATTGTTCCATTTAATTCCTTGATTATCATTTCGAGAGTCACTATCGTGTTTCAGCCTCGGGCGTACAAGAATCTGCTATTTAGAAATCCATATAACACTCAAATAGCTTTCTGGATTAGCTTTTCATATTTCTTAAGTTCCCAAAATAACCATCTTTTACATAATTTATAAGTGGAGAGTGGAATGGCTCAGTGGGTTGTTGATTAGTTTAGAGCAGCTAGATGCTAAGATTTTACTCCTGACAAGACAAAAATCGTGGTTATACTGGCGACTGATCTATACTTCTATCGCCACTGCGGAGCGAATTTTATATATTTTTTACATAACCTTTTATAAAAATAATTTTAATAAATAATCTTTAATAAATAATCTTAAAGGTTTAATACGATTCGCAAAATAATCTCTAATACAATATAATCTCGAAATAAAATAAAATTGTTAATATGATTTTTTTTCTAATTTTTTTTTCGATAAATTATTAATAAATAAAATTTTAAAAATACGAATTATTATTAAACAGAATTACGAAATAAATTTTAAAAAAATTCAATTTCTGTTAACGAAATTTTGCGGCGTTTCTACAATAAATGAGTAAAAAATAATAAAAACATTCCACATTCCCGAAAAATAATCTATAAAAACAGAAGAAAAGATTCGCCGGAAGAAAAGAAAATTTTAAAAAACTGATTTAGGAAAGATAAAGCAAAAACTCTAAAGTCGGAAATTTATTTAAATCTCGATCTTAATTTTTATTTACTATAATTGTCATAATAAACAGCTGCATAAAGTTATTCCATCATGAATGAAGCCTCATTTTGCTAAGAAAGTCAGGTAAATCTGGGAACTCAGTTGTACTTCTATTCCCATACGACAAAATATTAACCCACTATAATTACTATAACTTTGACCTACTATGGTTTTACTTCAAAAGAAAAAAGGTACATGTAAAAGATAATTCAGTGTTGAAAAACAAACATCGACTTTTTAAACAATCCTTACTAAATAGAATGATTACATAATATAAGTGAAATTTGATCGATTCTATTTCATAGCAATCATTTGTGATGATATACTTGTAGATATGAAAACTTGTAGATGTGCATCGAGGAATGATTTCATCAAATTTCACTAGCATGGAAAATTATCGGAAATCTTCTGGATTGAACAATCCTTTTGCACGATTCATTATACTATCCTGAAAAAAATATAATTATTTTAAATAAAAAATAGAAAGAAATGAAATAAAAATAAATGTTTATCACAACTTAGCAATTAACGATAAAGCTTCAACATTAGAAATTGCAAGACGAATCGCTCCCTTTCAAAAGAGAGTTTTACGAACTGAACAATTAGTTTTGATCGCGAAATTCTAAAATGATAAGCAAATCCACGCCAGAAAATAAATCATGTTATCAATCTATGAAAATAATTTAGTGTTAAAATCAACCTTGGAGGGATCATAAGGTGATTCCTTTGAAGGTATTTCCAAAACCGCTGGAACACTTGCTGTATGTTGATCAACGGTATAACGAATCATTTCAGCTATATGCTGATTTATTAATATAATTGCGACGTCATCACGAGAGCAAAATGATTTAAACGTTTCTTCTATTTCACCAGCTGGCGTATCCTTTCCAACAATTAAATAATTTGGCCTGCGTGACTAGAAATTTATTTTTTTTTTGGAAAATTAATAAAATCTTAATTAATCATTATTATAATCATTGATCATTATTATAATTATTATAGACGATAATCAAAAACGATTGTGAAAAATGCGATGGAAAATGCAGGAGGGATTTATGTTAAAATGTGCAAAAAAAAAGAAAATTGTATTAAAATTATTGTAATTGTATTAAAATAATAAAAATACCTTAAAATAATAATAATAAAAAATTTATTTCTCTCCACAACAAACTCAAAAAAATTTAAATAAAAATTAAAACATCAAATTTTGATTTAATCTTTTTTATAAATCCAAAAATTGACAAACTTTGTCCAATTCACCGATTCCACCTAAAAGAAATCCGACAACCGTATCTTCATCACCGATAACTGCGAGAATTTTGCCTCGTTGCGCCGAATGAGCCATTCAGATCTAAATGATTTATTTTAATGAGTACCAGGTGCAGAATGGTGAAAGTCAATAAATCAGGTCGAACAGCCCTCCTTGATATGCTCTTTCCAAGAGGATCTTTTTTTCCTTTTCTTCAGCTAGAGATTGGTATTTTATAGCTTCTCTAGTCTCTTCTTCTTCATTGGTCCTTTAGTGACTCGATTTCTCTACTTATTGGTGTCGTTAGCCTTATCTACTAGAATCACATTCTAAACCAATGATCTCGTCAATTTTCTCTATTCGCGGTATTTAAAAAATTACTCGCAAAAGAGATCTTTAGACTTCACTGTCACTGTCCAACCTAAAGGTATAATGATAATTGGAGACCCCTAGAATACGAAAAATCTCAACACCACCTACTTCGGAAGTACCAAACAAACTTCCTTTGCATAACAAATTAAAAAACGAATCTTAAACCGTAGTCTTCGAGAAACAAAAATCAAAAATCGAGTGCTTACCGATTGTAAGTAATGCTTAAAAATCGGCTGGACCGTTTCACTAAACATCAGCTTCCACGTTTAAGTGAGTGATTTTTGTTTATAACGTCTGATAGGTGTCGTTCCGCTATGTAAGGAGGTTCATGATATGAGGGGTTTCTGCTGGGATGTCATTTTAACATAGGGGTGTAGTTAGGTCATAGGGTTTCCCTGCTGGTAGGTTGGGCAGGGCACTGCTAAGGTACCACAGCCCTGACGCTCGAAAATTTCGAAAGTTACCACGATGGAATTGTTTTTTTTTCCCTCCCTCCCCTGTACCCCTTTATACGATTTTAAAATTCAATATATTTCTCATATAATTTTCCTCATTTCTTTCCATATTTTCTTAATTTCCCACCACTCCATGTTTTATTGACAATCGTTTCGTATTCATTCACCATATTATTCAATTTTTTTTCGCGTTTCGATTTATTTTTATTCATCAAAAAAATTATTGTAAAATTATAAAATTATTTGCAAATATTACAAAGTGATTCGCAAAGCACTGAATGAAAAATTGAACTTTAAAATAGAATAATTTTCATGAAAATTTTATAAAATATTTATTCGATTAATCTGATAAAATCATTGGCCATTTTATTCTGCGTTATTTTCTCGTTTTAATTTTTAATTATTTATTTTAATTATTTAATTATTATATTTATTTAATTATTTTTTTCGCTTTTTTCAAATTATAATTTAATTTATTATTTATAGAAAAAAAACAATTTATTTATAATTCTTGTAGTGTAATATTTTTTTTTGCATAATTACAATAAAATCGTTAAAGAAAGGAAACTTTTTTTTCTATTTGTTTATATCAACAAATGGGATAATCAACAAAAAAAAAGTAAACAACAACAATAAATTGGCTATTTTTTATTTTTTATTCAATAGTTATAGAGAAAGAAATTCCACTGAACCGTTTTCGCATTAATTGAGATTTTCGACAATTGCTGAATAAAAATATTAAATCTAACAAATAAACAAAGAAAAAAAAAAACTTCTTTCCAGCTGTTACTTTGACGCAATAATGATTTTCAATCAGCTGATTGAATTGATATTGATAAATATTTTATTAATTTTTTTATTTAATTTAGGATTTTTTAAAGATCAGTGAGAAAAAAAATAATTGATAAAAAACGAAAAAATGAAATTTTGCAACAAACTTAAATGAAAAAATATATAGAAAAGAATAATGAATTTTTCAAACTTTAATACAAACCCTTCTAAATAAATGCCCTAACCATAGTTGATTTGGTCGTCCTTAGTAGTTACTGAACGAAAGCCTATTGCGGCAAAAAGAAGTACCAATGAATCTCCAGTACCGCTCGGAATAGATTAAAATTTTTTCAGAACTTAATTCCACTTATCTGTTAGAAATATTTCATAGGTTGTATTTTTGATTTTCAACAAAAATACATGCGATAATAAGAAAATTCATTCCTCTTAGTCTTCGAAAAAGTTTATAAAAGTAGCAGTTTAGAAGGTCGAATAAACGGAAAAATTGATAAAAAAAATTTTAAGAAGTTTGGGGATGAAAAAAATATTGAAAATATTTGAATATGGCTAACGTTCGGAAGTGCATGGAGAAAAAGAGATAAATGAAAAATATACGAATGATCCTTAATAAAGCAGAAAAATTACATTTAAAAATTAGAAGTTAGAAACACGTTTAACTTTTTATCTTTACCACATCATTTTTATCATATCAAATCCTTATCACCATGTGTTCGAACACGTCGAATAATAGCAGGCTCTGTGAGGAATTTCGCAATTTTTTTCCTGGGTTTCAAAGCTTCAGCACAATCACGTTGAGAACACTTAAAGCCAGCTATGAGCTTTTGCCACCATGATAATTCCTCGCGTATATCTGCTAAATTATCGATGTTATCAAATTTAATTTCTTCTTCGGCTGGATTCAACGGTTTCAACTTATCATTAAAATTCTTTCTGCTGTCCTTTTCAATTTCCAAATTTTTGCTTTCAAGGATTTCATTTTCTTTGATTTTAGAAATCACTTGTGGTACTAAAACAGATTGAGTTGGCTTTAGTTTAGTTCCGCTTGTATTTTCTATAAAATTTTTTTCCTTTACTGCAAATTGAATTTTCGATTCACTGACGGATTTTGATGGTGCTGTCGGCGCAAAATGAAACTCCAAAGTTTCCTTTTGCACTTGATATTCGGATTTTATAGCGGCCGTAGGGAGTGCAACGGAAATCACTATTTCGTCCTTCTGTATAGTCTTCCCTCGTTCGTCGAAAAATTCATCTTCAAAACTTCTAGGAGCTTCGGTACTACCAGTGTCGCATGTACTTTCTATGGGATATTGTACCGGTGATTCTTTCCCTTCATACTGACCAGTCTCTTCAAGTATAATTTTGTGAGATGAAACATCCTGTATATTCGATTCAATTTCATTATGTGGAATAGCGAAATCATCATAAACATCCGATTCAGAAAGATCCAAATCGATTATTTCAGTTTGATTTTTCAAATCAGGGATTTTCGTGTGTCTTGACGGAATTTCTAATTCATGAGAGAAGACTGATTTTATTATGACAGGCGGTGAGGTGGTTGTTGTAATTTTTAGATTTTCTATTCCGGAATTTAATAAATAGTGAAGTTCAGTTGAACTGACCGTTATTTTTTCATTATTTTTTTCTTCAACTGATTTAATATCTAAAATATTGGTACCATGAATAAAGTTCGTTCCATTTTTATTAATAGAAGCGACAAAATTCTCCTTATTTAATAAATTTCTAGTCAGTGATGAACGCTGAACGACAGTTTCATCATGGTGTTCTCCTCTGATTTCCGCTGTAGTTTTCGCGATAGTGGAAAAATGGATCCATGCATCATTATTAGTGTTTTCTTGATCAGAATTTTTCGAATTATTGAGCAACAATGGTCGAGTCGCTATATCACAAAGAAAAAATAAAAAATTGATCAGAAAATAAATCCTATTCATTTTCAATTATAATTACATAGGAAACAGAACAAAGACAACTGATAGCAAACTAACAAAACAATAAATCTAAGTATCGGAAATAGTTCTTGTATCAGGGCGGAGCAGAGCAAACGCGATTGAAAATTTCACGAAATCGAGGTAAATCGCGAGCATTAACAGCTGTTAACAAATCAGATATACATGGATGGTCACTATCGAATACTGCCAATTGTAACGCTGACCATATGTACGATAAATCATCATAATCCTCTTTTTTCAGCATCTCTATCGCTTGCACAAAAAATTTGATGGCATCACTGAAATTATTTTATCTCAATTTCAATTTTTTAAGTCAATTCTTATTCCTAACCTAATTATTTAAAAAATTGAAAAATGGATAATTATCATATCAAGAGTAAATGCAAAATAATCATTGGAACCAATTTATATAAACGCTTCAATGCTTAAATTCTTGTTGATAAACGTTAAAAAAATTTAATTTGAGAACTGAAATTAACTAGGCAGTAGAAAATTACTTTGAAAAATAAGATGAAATTTTTTAAAATTTTAAATAAACCAAAAAAATCAAAATTATTTAACAATGTAACAAAATATATTTTCAGCCTCTGATTAATTCGAGATTAATTGATCTTTTAAAAGCTTATCAGTAAAAATTATCAGCAAAATTTCGACTAGTGACTAGTTCAGTATAACAGTTTATCAATGAAATCACCTTCCAATACTAGCCGAAATTTTAAAAAAAGACAGTTGGCTTTAATTCATCAGTCATAAATCTTTCATTACGTGGTTAATTTGATTTTAATGCTATAAATAAAGTCTATCCTACATTTTTCACTGAAACGTAAATATAAAAGTTCTACATAATAATTATATTTATTATATAGAAAAAATAAAAACCCTAAGAAAAATGGAAATTTCAAATTATTTTTGATTCTTGATTAATTCGCTTTAATTAAGATATTATCGAAATTTATAATTGTTCTAATCCGTTTTAATATACGTTTTAAGATTCCAATCCAAAAAGAAGTGATAAAAAGAAATTATAAAAATTATAAAAATTATTATAATAATTTAAGGGAAAACCACTGTGAACAAATTTTTTCTAGCAATAATTAACTAAAAAATATCTAATAAATATAGTTAGTGAAGACATCCAACTTATTCGATTCATTCCCACTCATCTGCATGAATTTTTTTTTTTTTGACATCGTTATCATTATACTTTATTTTAAAAACTTCTAACACACATAAAAATAAATCGCTTATATCGAAAAGAGAAATAATAAAATCTTTTAAGACTGAGCGAAAGGAATCACATACTTGATCAAATCTAATTCAAAATGGGCGATTCCTAGATTATAATAAAGTCGAATATATTGCGGCACCAGCTGACTAGCGCGCAAAAACGTGGCGATTGCTTCGGTATGATGACCAGCTCTCAACAAGGTTGCACCATAACGATTAATTAGAAATACATCCTAAAACATCAAATATTTTGATATTCGTTTGAATATATATAAATGAACAAAGAAATCCGAATCTAATTTTCAAAAAATTTCAAAAAAAAAGTGTATAACCAATAAAAACGTTTTACTAATTGCTTCATCCTCCATTCACCAAACAAGAGAATTAGAACTTATTAAAAGAATTTTTCTTTACCAGTGAACATGACAAAATAATTTACAGAATTTTCAAAGAAAACCATTACAAACAATTGATGTCAAAAAATATATGAAATATAATAAAAATTAGAGAAAAGTTATATCAACAAACTAACAGTAGGTTTTAATTGAACAGCCAGACTCAAACAATCGACCGCTTTACTATAATTATGATTAAGATTATATAAGATTCCCATAGCATTTTGTAAATCGGCAACTCCTTCTTCGGGCTGTTTCGCTGCTGTAGCAAGAAAACGCCTTTCAATCTCAAAATAACCGAATATTATAAGGAGAATAACATCCGTCGAAATTTAGCAAAATCCAAATACCTCATTGAAATTCGGAGAAACATCCGACACAAAACATTTATTAGAAGAACCATAAGCAGCATAATTATTTATCCAACAATCTAAAAATTTCAGCGCTTGAGCATTTAGATTTTCGTTGGCCAATGATGCGGAAATTGCCAAAACAGCCTGAAAAATTCTTTCAACAGATCGTCGTAAATGAGCAATTGATGCCAAAAGCCTTAACAAAAATGAGAATCTGCTTAATGATGGAAATAAAAGAAGGTAATGATGAGAAAACTTTTGAATATTTTATATTTTGATTGGACTTACGTCATTATTATGAGGATCAATTTCAAGTGATTTTGTATAAGCAGATATAGCCAGAACATCATTGCCGTTAAAACTATGAGCCAACCCGAGATAGTACCACGTCTGAAATTTTCTCTTCCAAATTTTAACTAAGCATTACTAATTCTAAAGTAAAACTGAATAAAATATCGAAGTTTTTTAATGTTCAAGAATAGAAATATTATTTACTTTTGCATCACAAATATACTAATTCTAAAGTAAAACTGAATAAAATATCGAAGTTTTTTAATGTTCAAGAATAGAAATATTATTTACTTTTGCATCACAAATATTTTGTTGAATTGCAGCTTCTAAAAAGAATATGGCAGTGTTAATATCAGTTTTATTATCCAACAACTTTTTTCCTTCAGCAGTGCAATTTTCTTCATTCAAATATGGATTATCCTTTCTCATTTCATAAGATATCTGACTAAAAAACAAACAATTAACTAAAAGGTATAATTTTGAAATTAAAATAAAACGGATGAATGAAGAAAAATTTAGAGAAAAAATAATTTTGACGAAATTTATTATGAATATTTAATTATAAAATTTCGGAAAATAATACGGTCGTCAAACAATAATTAAAGAACCCCTCATCATAATCAATAATGCAAATTAAAATATAAAATATATTTATAATTAAAACATATTTCTAAAATCAAACCTGAAGTTCACATTCAATTCTTCATGTTCGAAGTCGACATCAGCATTACTACTGATATAATGCTCAAATGAATCAAAGTTCTAAAAAAAATTTGATTTATAAGTCATTAATAATATGCTTTTATTTCTGGGTTTATAATTTATCATAAATTGAAATTTTTTTATAATTTCTGAAATTATACATCACAAATTGATGTCTGATGTTCCATTCTCATTTTAAATCAATAATAACGAAAAAAATTAGGGATATAAGAATTTTTTATCATAATAAGAAATAAAGAAAAAATATCAAAGATTCCAGAAAAAGTACCATAAACTTATCGGAATTCGTTTTGTTTTTTTGATCAAACATATTTAAATATTCCGCCGGAAACATTTTAGATTTTCTGGAAATAAAAATTGTAAAATGAATATAAATGCATTGAAAGCTATGGCGCCAAATAAATCATTTTCGAAAGCTATTGCCTAACTCCTTAATTTCACTTTTAAAAAGGTATAAAATAATTTAAAAAACAAAAGTAAGGAAGCATAAAATAATGCGTACTTAAGAATTTATATAAAAATAATATGCTAGTTAATAAGGAAAGAACTTTGGAAATTTTTAACTAGAAACACACATTGAGGAGGAAAACATTCGATCCGTGGCATTAAGATTCATACCAGTAGCAGCAGTGGAAAAATTTGCCGGTAATATATGTGAACCATTTCTAGGAATGACGCCGGGGGTCCACTTCCTAGAAATTCCAGGATTCGATGTAATTTTTGCCAGTTTGCCAACTGTATGCTGTTTATCCACAGATTCATGATCAGTAATATTTTTTGAATCATTAGAAAGTGGTAAATCTTTCTTCAACATAATATCATCGAATACATCGTTCATCAATATATTTTGAAAAAGTTGACGCTCATCGAAAGTCGTCGGCGCCGAATATTTATTCGATTGTTCCGAAAGATATGTTGTAGCTAACTGCAACAAAAAAGTTTACATTAATAATACAAAAAATTAAAAAAAAAGGACAAATAAATTCATATAAATTCGTAATTCATGCAATATGTAAAATATTTTAAATAAAAATAATAAAAAAATAAATGTAAAACTAAAGCAAAAACTTAAAAATTAAAAATTAAAATTAAAATTAAAAACAATAAAAATTAAAAGACGTAATGAACAAATTATAATAGCAATATAACAATAATAAATAAGAAACACTAAAAAAAGGAAATGAAAATAGGAAAGAAGAGTGGTTGTTTTACAAATTATAATCTCCAGCATTAAGATTCCCATTTTCTCCAACAAGGCCGATTCGATCTTCATTGAATGGTGAGGAGAATGGTAGTTCCTTAATTCTTTAACTCTTCAAAAGCCTCTTAAAACCTCTCACGGTACTATAAAATTATAAAATAAAAGCCAGTGGAAAAGTCTAACCAGAAGTGATGCGAACTAACCATTCTATAACTTTTCCTTATTTTTGACAAAAATTCTGCCGAAATTTTAAAAAATTTGCGAGTAATATATAATAATATATGAAAGAAAAATGATATAAAATATTTCTAAAAAAAGGAAACTATCAGTGGACCAGTGGCAAAATAAAAATCATCGAGATTTGAAACTTAAGTTCGAATCCGCACTCCACTTTTCGTCACGTAACACCTAACAGAAAAAAAAAACGGAATGGCTCAGTGGGTTGTACTCAATTCAAAGCACCGATACTGAGGTTCTACTCTCCGTAGAAGTGAATCTATCCAAAAATCCGTGAGATGCTGGCGATTCACCTATACTTCTATCGCCAATGGATTCTTTGGCATCTTTGTCTAGAACGGTGAGACAGCGAAGTGAGTCGAACCAGTAACGATGAGTGCTTTTAAAAAAAAATACTATCGAAAAAATGAGAAGTCTTTTGCTTAGCTTACAATATTTAAAGCTTTAATGGAGAAAAAAATAAATTCGGTAAATTTAAATTAAACAAATTTTAATTGAATAAAAATAAATTAAATAAAACTTTAAATTAATCAAATCAATGAAATGAACTGGAAATAAAATATGTTTAAAATTGGAGCCAAACAAATGGAATTTCACCGCTAATTATAATTTCTTTTTTCTCACCACTAATAATAAAGAACTGATAAAAACCTTACGAAAAAAAAGATTAATTTAAAATAAACATCTAAAATTAAATTTAAAATTAAATATAAAATTAGCTTTTAATTAATCAAAAAATTAAATTGGAAATTAAAAAATTAATTAAAATTAATTAAATAAAAAATTTAATCACTAAATTAAAAAAAAAAAGCTTTGAACCTCGTCGGTAAAAGATTGCGTTAGAGATTCGAACGCGTTAATTAAATCATTCGGAAGCGAAGATTCTCGTTGTTGAAATTTCGATAATTCATTCCATTTTTCATATTTATCAGATAACAGCGAATCCATTTGGAAAATTTTTTGTCAAAAATAATTCCTAAAAAAAAATAATAATAAGCAAATATTTGGCTTAAAAATATGAAAAAATTTCTACTAATTCCGCATTTTATGAAAAAAATTTTTGTTTTCCTTATCAAATTTACCAAGAAAAATATCAAATAAATTTTTTTTTTAAACGAATAAATAATATGAAAAAATATGGAATATATAAAATTTGAAAAATATAAAAAATATGGAAAATATAACAAATATAAAATTATAAAATATAAAATTAAAATTGTTTATAATTCAATTAATTTCACCTTTTAAATTTTCTATTTTTCCGAAAATTTCGAATAAATTTCAATTTTATTTTAAAAAAAATACAAAAAAAACAAAACAAAACCAATAGAAAACCTTCCTTCTGTGAATCAACCAGAAATTCTAAAATAAATAAAAATATTCTTTCAAAATGATTCAACATAAATTATTGCAATAGAAATGAAGCTGAATTTTTGGTTCGGCCGATTTTTAAACTAGCTAACTATCGGTTATTATTGACTTGGCCATTTGGTCAGTTAAGGTGACCATCATTCAGGACGACGAGAGCGAAGAGAACTCAGTTAATTAAGATTAGTGAGAACGAATTTTCAGTTCATGAGCTTGATTTTTAAAATAGCGTAGGAATCGTTTTCCTATTAAAGCGATTAGAAATTTTTGCCAAGCTCGAAGACAGAATGACAGATATATGGGAAGGTGAGTACCACTCGAGTAGTTTGTACCCTCGAGGGGAGTATAAGGTGAATTCTTGCCTCTCAAGACGATGAAAAAATTCAACGACAATCAACTGCAATTCGTTCCAACTATATTGCTGTTTATTTTAAAAAACCGGTGATCCAGTGAGAAAGAATTATCACCGAGAAAGACAATGGAGATGGCTCAGAATGGCTCAGCGTTGCTAAATTTAGATCGCAGATGCTAAGATTCTATGCCTAGCAGGAGAAACCTGTGCAAAAATCCGTGCGATGTTGGCGATTCACCTGTACGCTTATCGCTAAGGAACTTTCTGGTGCGACAAGCCAGAGGATAACCAATAATGGTGAATTAAAAAAAAATTAAAACATTTCGCATTTAATAAAATTTGTAAGTGAATATTTTTTTGGTGAAATTTAGAAATTTTTTTTATTGAAGAGCACTTGTTACACTTGTTTTCGTTCCAGATCCACCTATTCCTTTATATTTGTATAAATTTATCATTTATCAATTCTATCATCTATCAATATTTTTTACATAATCTTATGATCTCGGCTTGCAATTCACCTATACTTCTACCATCAAATGACCCTCTGACAAAATTTATTTGATATGACAAGCGAGAGGTGCAAGCCTATCGCTAAGTGAATCCTCTGGCAAAATTTGTCTGATAAACCAGCAGAGCAAAGAAGCAGTGAGCACTCTTAGAAGGACATTGAGCTAAAAAGCGATATTCTGATGTTAAAAAAAGTATATTAATTATTATAATATATTATTATTAAATTATTATAATATATTATTATATTATTATAAAAATATTAAATAAATATACAAATATATATTAATTATATATTATTATTAATATAATATAATCACATTATTATTAATAATTTTTATAAAAAATAAATTAATATAATTAATTTTAATAGCATATCCAATTTTTATTTCACCATTTCTTTTCGTTTCTTCTATTATTTTTTTTTAATCTGCTTAACAATTATCATTATTTTTATAAAAAAATTTCCATTTCACAATTTCAAATCAAATTTTGCCAGTTTTGTTTGCTCTATTAAAATTCCACCAAGTTACCTCATCGAATTCGTTATAAACTTTTCTCATCGTCCTAAAATTCCTCGCATGCCTTAGACCGTTGGACTATTATCCTTATCACTAAGAAAACAAAAAACAGCTACTATTGTTTGGGTCGGTTTTTCACTCATGTTGATTGCGCGGACTTTTTATCTCCTTTATTGAGCCATTCAACGAAAACTAAAATTTTTTCATATTCTATTGGCTCTAAAAAAGAGAGCCTTATCAACATCTTCAATAATTAATCGATCCTTCTTGATTTTGATAGTAGTTGTTGATAAGGCTTGCTGAATCCAGACACCGTTGAAACCTTCGCCATTTTTGATAGTAGTTGTTGATAAGGCTTGCTGAATCCAGACACCGTTGAAACCTTCGCCATTTCGCAATATTCTCAAGTTTCTCAGGCTCACAATTATTTTTATAAGGTAAAAAAGAGGATGTGGATGGAATTGAAACGCAGATTAGATTTTACTAAAGGATTGTTGTTGAAGAATAAAGCGAAGGAATGTTGAAGAAATCGTTGGATTCGTATTTGCAAAGGCTCTTCATAAATCGTGATTCAGGATATATTAAATGGGGAAGATTTCATATGCAATATGCCAGGTTTCTGGACTGATATGGTCAAGAAAGATTTTGAACTTAAAGGTGGACCAGCAATATATGGACTTAGACGATGGAAAAAGGAATGATTTCTATTATTGTCGACGGTGGCATCAGACTGCGCTGCTTGGAAGCGTCTTACCCTTGTGACCAGTGAAGTCAGCCTAACCAGTAATGGTGAGAGCTGTTGAAAGAAGATGCAAGGTTTTTGAATGATTTCAGTGTGTTGTAATGAAATGGTCAGCAATTGAATTTTGGTTTAACAATCTTGGTCGCCATAATATTAACATAATGTAAGAATCCGAGAATATTTCAGAGTTAGCATAAGGGAGTTTGAGGTGCTATTGTCTAGTTTTAAGAAAAGAATACAAAACGAATAAGGAACTTTAAGTTAATATTATTAATGGTATAGCAAATAGTACAGCCAAGTTCAATGGAGCATTAAAGAATTCTTCCGCAAAAAGATTTTGAAGGATATTAACAGAGTACAATAGTTTCGAAGACGAAGGTGTTGGGACAATAAAAAAGATTTCGGAAAATTTTAAAGTCTATTTTGGAGGTGAAGGTGTTGGAAAACGATATAGAAAAGAAGTTAGAAGTGGAGAGGGATATATTTGGGATGGAGAGGAGGATAAATCGCACGATAACTCGGATTTAATGATAATGATTTAATCATTCTGATAATCATTCTGAAATGATAATATTATCAAAGATAATATCATCAAAGATAATATCCACAAACAGACCATAGATATTTATAAAAAATGCTAAAAAGATATTTATAAAACAAATTGTTTGCCAACCGCGAGTTTTTATGCATTCAAGTTCACCACCAAAGAAAATAGTATTTATTTCAATTTTCAAAATTTGAATCAAAGTCCTACTGGATCAAAATCAGTTCAAATATAGGTATATAGGAATGGTCAAATGGTAGCATTAAATGAAATATTAGTGGTGCGATTAGTGGTGACTAAAGCTAACCTAACTATTAAAGATGAAATTGTGTAGTATACGAAATACATCTTTTATATTCTCTGGTGAAAAACTTCGCATTCAATGAAACCAATCAAACTAGAAGTGGTGCATACAGTGGAAAGACGATGCATTCCATTGCGATATATCCAGAATTCCACCAAATATTAAAAATTATATCCTTTCTACAATGTTCTCGAATTCCGCTCAATTTTAAAATAAAAATTTTAAAATTTTAAAATAACGACCACAAACTCATTTAACAAGCATATTAATGTCTAGGTCAAAGGTCAAGGTCAATCTTTAAATGAACTTTAGAATGCTTGTTTAATTATCATATACAAAGTCAAATATCACATTTACTCACAGATAAACTAATTAATTTCCAATTTTATTAGTTCCCCTCAAATAGTTCATTTGATTGAAAATTTTTTATTGATATAGCTGTTGGTTTTTTGGACTTCAAAATAGTCTTATCAAATGTGACAATATTCTTACAAAGTAAAAGTCTTATTAAATGTGACAGTAGTCTTATCAAGTGTGACAGCAGTCTTACCAAGAAGTCTTATCAAATGTGAAAGCAATCTTATCAAGCAAAAGTCTTATCAAGTGTGACAGTAATTTTATAATTTTATATGACAATAGCAATGAAGTGTTCACATATTTCAATTGAATTTTTTAAAATTACACAAAAAAATATATATGAACAATTAGTAATTTATTCAAAAATTATTTCCTTTTTAAAGAAGTTTATTTATAATTTACAATTTATCTTTTCCTAAATCCATTGAAATATTTTAGTTTCTTATGGATTTTTATCAATTTTCTATAGAATTATACAAAATAATATAGGCAAAATATAGGCGATCGAATCGAATAAAAGGACGGTCGCCTATTTTTCGACTCAACGACGATTATTCGAATAATCATGAATAACAGATTTATAAGATGAGATTTATAAGAAAATTTCAACGAAATTCTCACGCTCGTCTAGCTGCACTCTATTTCTTTATTCTTTCGAAAGGGATTCCCCTTTCCTCATTTTAATAATGGAACTTCCCCTATATATTTTCTTAATGTTATTTAAAATTTTAGGTTATAAATTTCTCGGGCTGCTTTTTTTTCCTTCATCATCTTATTTTTTTTAAAATTTATGATTGATTTATTTAAGAAAAAACTATTCCCAAATGATTAAATTAGAAATTAGCAAATGCTAATTTCGTCTCTATGGATATTTTTTATTTTTTTATTTTTTATTTATTTTATTTTATTTATTTTATTTTTTAAATTTTTGCAAATTGTAAAAAAATATTAAATTTCTTTTTTTAAATATTAAATAATGGAAAAGAAGCCCTTCTTTTTCTGTTCGTATTTATTATATGTTTTCAATAAAAACAGTTTTTTTCACAAACGATTATATTTTGTATTTTTCACCAATAAAATAAAATAAATTTTTTACACAAATTCATTTGGACGATTTTGATCTTTAATTATCAGTCGAAATAATTTATAAATTTATAAATAATAAAAAATTTATAAATAATCGAAGCAATAAAAATAATAAAATTTAAATGTAACAAAAATAATAAGTACAGTAAATACAATAAATACAATTG